CATTTTGTCATCGCACCATTATGAAAAAATGCTAAGAAAAGAAGTATAAATAGAGCCCTTCCTATTGTTGACTGCACTTTTGACTATTTTAACAATCAAGTCTGTCAGGTGTAAGTTGGGAAAACTTTGAACTTTTCTCATTATTTACTGACAAACCAAAAGAGTTGCGTATTTTGAAAAGTTTTCTTTGGAGGGCTACTGCAATTGTTTGAGTGTTCGAATTGTTCTTTATGTTGGGAATATTGTATTGAAACTGCCATTTGAAGGGTGAATGGACGCCAATGACATGGATATCTCCACGATTGAATTCTGCTACATTACCGGATCCTCAGTTCTCAGAACATAAGACGAGTGAAGTGACGGCAACGGAATATCTTTTGGAACAACAAAAGCGGGTAGAAGAACAGCAATAACAGTGCGACTTCTTTCAAGAATAGTTTGTTGAATAGTTATCGATTAGTCTGTTGTTTTAGCGAGAATATTATTTGTGTTTTGAAAGAATTTACAATGTGAATATGTTTCCAACGCTTTATAAACATTTCTGAAACCTTGAAGGTTGCTTTTGCCATGGTTGTTCTTCTCCACAGCCTATTTTTGATTGTAATTTTGCATGTTTTGTTACTAGTATAGAGCTTTTTTGGCCATTGTTTTCAAATGTTTTCTTTATTTTAGTGGCTTTTGAAGGCAACAACAATGCCGATGTATCACGTGTCTCGTACAACGAGATTCATCCAATACTGGAAGCACCTGCCCCATAGAATGCTGAAAACGTATCCGGAGCAGACCATCATGTACTCGACATTCGGCCTCGCCACCGTCGTTATGGCCATCTACAAGCTCTACAAGTTTATAAATCTGGACGAAAGACCATATTACCGTGGTTACTATGACGTGGTTCGACCGAATGATCCAATTGCGCTGAACTGGAGAAAACCCGAAGACTATCCGGCTCCGTATCTTTCGGATGGTATCGAATATGCTTGCTAATGTAGTGTGTTGGTTTGATTAGATAGACGAAATAAATATTAGAAGAGTTTTTCTATGTTTACATTGAAGTTTTCCCTTTTTTGCATATTTTGAAACTTCTGATGAGAGGATTTGAAGAGTTAACATTTTGAAAAGTAGGGTCAGGACGTCCCACGTTCGGTAAAAACTGGGTCATTTTGCGCATGGCAAATTTGGCCAGTTCGTTAAGAATCTCCGTCGTTTTTAACTTACTACTAAAATACTAACTTAATACTCTGAAACCCGAACTGAAATTAAGACGTATGGCTGATGAAGAACATATCCGTCAATCACTAGGAGTGAAATTTCAAAACGAATGTCCTTACAATTAGTTCGAGACGGTTGATCGATAAGTTCCGGATAGAAGGTCATCAATTCGATCGTAGATCGGTCCTCTCACACACTGCCTTTTTGCTGAAGAAAACTCGAAACAAAATGGGAGTGGTAGGTAAGGAGAAGCGTGACGCTGGGATAGAAGAGACCTTAGAAAGCAGATCCTATGACGCTACTGTTCGCTTCTGCGCTTCAGATTGCCAATACGTCTCCATTTGGTCTCTGCAGCTCAATCAAGAACGGTGGCCTTTGGGCTTTGCATTGCCCCTCGCCTCCCAGTCCTCCTTGAACACTTTCCATCGACCTTTGTTAAGTGCGCCATTTTGTTTCTAACATTTTATGTATTTCGTTATGCCGTACTCGCGTAGATTCTTCAAAGAAGATAGCTCGGGTGGGACTTCATTGAACTGCATTACTTCGGTCGAAATTCCTTTGTGAATTCCGAGTAAAACTCATGTTCGACCTCATTTTCCTCAGCCAGTAATGGGCACATTCATTAGAGTCGTATATTTGAATCTCCATTTGAAGAGCAGCTGCGGTTCAAACTTTTGGCTTAATTTATTTGAGAATTGTTATAAGCCCTTGGTAAATATAAAGAATCATGAAGTGACATTTTTTGTGAATCTCCTCTCGTACAAATGCAGATTCAGGAAACTTTCGAATCGTCAACGAAGCTTTTATTCAACAATTTCCGCGTTAAATTACCTATTCAGAAACTATTCTAGGCTTTTGTGGATTTGGATCCGTAACAAACGAAATTAACTGGAGATGTGATATACAGGTACTGTAAATAGTTCCGTGAACCAATTTGTAGTCGTTGTTGTCATTATTTTCTTTGTAGGTTCTCGCTGATTCTCGATGTCGTTATTCGATCGGCAACCACGATTGTTCGAACACTTGACGGCGATGTTTTCGACGTAAGAAATCCAGATATTGACCATCTGATGATGAAGCCGATAGCCACAGGATACCAGGCAAGAATAATTAGAATAGTCTGGAATGATTCGCGATAAGGTGATAACCAGTGAGGATTGCAAAACTATTGAAATACTGAAAGTATAGCCGGCCAACATAAGTACGGTACGGTGAACATGTGAGATTGAACTGAGCCCCTGAATAGGATCTGTTCCTCTCGAAATCCTGCTCGTCTAGCTGAGAACACTTTCATCCAAGACTGAGATTAGTGGATCACTGCAGTTTAGTGCCTGTCGCAAACTGGGCCACCCTTTGAACGCGCGTTCCGCATCTGCAGCTTTAGCCCTGAGATCGCTCAGTTCCTTTGTTCTAACGATAAGGGCAGGCTGACTGTCAGCCGGGCGGGCCATGACATCCGAAGGAACACGCAAGCACCCGTGACGCATTGTGGCGGCTCTTCCTCCTCATTGTCAGTCAAAAGTTTAAGGGGGTGGTAACCAGCAAAGAAAGCGAGTACAATAATAGCTTTGATAATTGACCGTGTTATAGATTCCGGCGATAGACATGAGGACTTCTTCGGTAGTGGCAAAAATTGAATCCA